ACTCGCGGAAGGGGACGAACTGCACGATGTCGCGGAGGACGGGCTCACCCTTGGGGGAGCGCAGGACGCCGTCGTCCCCGTCCAGGATCTGCATGTCGGTGAAGTCGGCGTTCCCCACGCCGACGATGATGATGGACATGGGCAGGGAGGACGCCCTGACGATTGCCTCCCGCGTGTCTGCCATGTCCGTCACCACCCCGTCCGTCAGGATCAGCAGGATGAAGTATTGCTGGGGGGACAGGGATGCTCTGGGGGGGCTGCCCAGCCCCTCTGCCAGTAAACAAAAGTCATGAGTGTGCAGGGGTTAAGCCCAGCCCAGCCCTCAGAAGAGACGGTGGGACCCACCGATGCCTCCTTTGTCTGCTCCTCATCAGCAGCCACACGAGCCACCTTGGAGATGATAGGAGCCACGTTGGTGGGGCCATAAAGCTGAATTTTGGGCAGGCAGCTCTGGTAGGACTCCACAACACCCTGGATGCCTGTGGGAAGGTGTGAGAGGTGAGGGGGGACATCCTGGCCGTGGCCCAGTCCTGCTGGATCTGAACTCACCCTCACACTCATCGTTGTCAGGGTTGAAGTTGATGGCGAAGTCATGAGAGACCTGGAGGGCAGGAAAGGAGTGGGCAGCCAGTGCCCACACCCCACCACAGCCTCTGGCACCCACCAAGCCTCACCAGCACCATGGCTGAGGGTGTCTGGAAGGATAAGCACATCCCTGGGGTCCCACAGGGCACCCTGACCACCCCCTCACCTCATACTTGGGGGGGATCCTGGCACCAAAGCCCAGAGCCGAGAATTTCTTATCACTGCAAGGGAAGGACTGTGAGGAGCTCTGGTGTCATCACTGGGTGGCCATCACCAGGGCAGGTCAGTCCAGGGTGGCCATCATCAGGGCGTCTGACCCCGGGAGACCCACCAGAGCCACCAACCTGTCATAGTCCTGGCAGATCTCACCCACGGCCACCAGCGCCTTGAGGTACTCATTGGGCTGGTAGGGGTTGATGTAGTGCAGGGAGCAGCTGTTCCGGGGGTCCCCATTGGAGGCTGTGAAATCGATGGCCACCTAGTGGGGGGGAAACAGTGAGGGTCCCCCCAGGCCACTGGTGTGTCCACACTGGGGGGGCAGGGAACGCTGCTCACTGTGAAGTGGATCTGGCAGCCACCCATGATGTAATCCAGGAAGGAATAGACCCTGTGGATCTTACAGAGGGACCCATGTCATCCAGTCTTGCCCCACACCAGCCTATGGAGTCAGGCACAGCTTGGCATGGCTCAGCACAGCTCAGCACAGCATGCAGGCACTCACCTTCAGGTCCAGCAGCACTACAACCCCCGAGTTCTTGTAGTTGCGTTTCTTGATCTTGTACTTGGGGTTCATGCAGTCCCACTGCACCTGCAGCACACAGCACCCGCGCTGCCTGT